AAAAAAAAAAAGAAAAGAAAGAAAGAAAGAAAGAAAGAAAGAAAAGTGATCCCTCTGTGTGTGTGTGTGTGTGTGTGTGTGTGTGTGTGTGTGTGTGTGTGTATGTGCAGGCACACACTCACATGTGTGTCATAGTGCATGGGAAGCAGCCAAAGGACTACTTGTGGAAGTCATTTCTCTCTTTCCACCTTCTGGGATTGAACGAAGCCTGCCTGGCTTGGTTCCAAGTTCCTTTATCCACTTTGCCATCTCCCAGCCTTTCTCGGTTTGATAAATGGCATTTATAGGGTGGCTCTGGAGGTGGCTTGGATGGATTACAATCTGATAAAAGTAAAAGCAGGAGCCACTGGGATTGCACAAGGACGTTGGGACGTACCCCTTTGCTACAAAGTTTCTGGTGAGATTCCCAGAACATTGCAAGTTTCTAGCCGGGAAGAAGTAAAACCTTAATCAAGTGTGATTGTGCTGGAGCCCTAGATTGTCAGCTGCCTAGAGGCTTCAGCCGAGGCTAGAAGGAGAGGACTCTGTCCCTCTCCCCATGTTTCCACAGCTGTCCTGGTGTTTCTGTTCTGCCTCACCAAGCTCCTGTAATAGGGAGGACTACTATACTCTAAATTAATGGCCGACAGCCAAAGTATTAGTAACATGTTCAAAGCAAGTTACTAAAGTATTGATTAGTAATTAGGGCTTAGCATGTAACTGAACTGTCATGTAATACAGCCTAATGAATAAGTATCTAGATGATAAGCCAGTGTTAGGAGATCATTAAACTGTTAGCAGATCATCATATATCAACTACTCTAGGGTTAATTGATAAGCAAGGGATTAATTGAAAACCACAATGTTGGCAGATAATGACTAATTAATGGCTAAGGTGAGAGTTAATAAAGATTTAAAATGGCATCTTCCTAAGAAGAGTTTCATGTATGTTGGAAGGAACTGGAACCAGCCGGAAACTAGTAAAGTCAATAGGAATACATGTCTAATGAGAAGTATAGAGTTGCCAGTGGGACTCATAACTTTTCAGGAAATGGTTTTTTTTTTTCAATCTTTGGTGACCATGTATATTCAATATGGCCACACTGGGAAAAGGAACGAAGTCCAGTGACCCTCCCCTAAGTTCACATTCAAGGTCCTGATGCAAGATTTAGGTTTAAACAGAAAGCAAGATGTAGGTATAACTAAACAGTTCCAGTCAAGGGGTGGTCCCACCCATCACTCATCCATCTTTGCCTGGGTGCTAGACTCTCCTGTAAGGTGGTCTGGCACGTTGTCATACTATGTGAAATCTCTTTCTGAGGGACAAACTCCCCTCTAGCTGAGGGTCCCCATCTTATCTTTCTACTAGCATGAGACTGGGGGGACTTCCGATTTCTTGGAGTCCACTGTTTTAGTAGTCTGGTAGGCAAAAGTCATGATGTCTTTCTTTAGAACATCTTCGCTCCCACTAGAATGGTTCAGTTTGAGCACTAACTAGCCCTTTGGAATCAAATCCATGCCCACAAACCTTCCTTAGTGCACACCGTCTCTGCTTTGAAAAGGCAAAATAAATAAATAAATAAAAATAAAATAAAAAACCAAAACAAAACAAAAAACCCCAAAACAAAATAAAAAATCACAAGCAACAAAACTCAAACCATCGGAATAAACTTTGACCCCTCACACTTCGCCGGTGCCCAGCTGTGAGGCTACGGAGACAAGGTCTGCTCCATTCCTTACACCGACTCTACACTACAGCGTAACAGCCTTCAACATATCACACCCCTAATACAAGCCTCCTCAAAAGACAAAAGGAAAATTTGTGTTATCCCTCTAACAGTCTACATTTTGAAAAAAAAAAAATTTAAAAACTTGTTTTTTCAAAGCTACAGGCATTTTATATGGAATTCGGGAAGTTAGCCCTAGGGACTCTGAGGTAAGGGGTTTTAAATTCAAGGCCAGCTAGGGCTACATAAGGAGATCATATTTCTAACTGGAACAAGATGAGGCCAGGGAAATGGCTCAGTTGATGAAATACATGAAGACGTGAGTTTGGTCCCCAGCATACACATAGGAAGTCAGGCATGAGTAGTGGAAGACAGAGACAGGAGGATCCCCAGGGTCACTGGCCAGCCAGCCTGGCTTAATCAACAAGGCCCGGATTTCTATAAGAGATTTTGTGTTCTCTAAGTATTGCAATGTCTACAAACTTGTGGATTAAACAGTTCAACTTTCTCCCGCCTCAGGGATACGAGAAGAAAAGCAAACCTTGAATCATGGCTCCAGCTTGCTTATTAAATGTTCTTAGAGACAAGTGTGGTGGCACACCCTTTTAATTCCAACGCTTGGAAGGAAGGAAGGCAGGTGAAGCTCTGTGAGTTTGAAGGCAGCTTGGTCTACATAGAAAATTCCAGAATAGGCTGGAGAGATGGCTCAGAGGTTAAGAGCACTGACTGCTCTTCCAGAGGTCCTGAGTTCAATCCCCAGCAACCACATGGTGGCTCACAACCATCTGTAATAAGATCTGGCCCCCTCTTCTGGCCTGCAGTCACATATGCTGTATACATAATAAATAAATAAATAAATCTTTGAAAAAAAAAAAAAAAAGAAAATTCCAGAATAGTCAGGACTACATAGACACACTGTCTTAAAAAAAAAAAAAAAATTAAAATTCTGACAAGGAAATAAAGCCTGGTCTAGTTTGGCTCCAGTTGGGTGGGCAGGGACCCCAGATGCCTTCCCTGAGAACATAGCACCCAAAGGAGCTGCCGTGTGAATCCTTACTGATGACCTGTAGTCTACAAATTCATATCTGCATTGTTTACATTTCTCCCGGCGGTGATCTGGCTAATGCAATTCAAGGGAGAAAAGATTTCTCCTGGCTCACAGTTTCAGGGAATATCAGCCCCCCATACTCAAGAAGGCATAGTGTTAGGATTGACTGTTGTGTGTGGGGTGGCTGGGGTCATACGACCAGAGCAGTCTAGAAGAGCCTGAGGTCCAGCCAGAATCCTGCTTGAAGTCCTGCCCCTGTGGCCATACATCTGCCCCGTACATAATAGGTTCCACAACCTGCCCACTCTCAATCAAAACAGTGCCACTATCTGAGTGCCAAATGTTCAGGTACATAGGCTGTGGGGGACGGCTCACATTTAAATTATAATACCCTTTACTTATTTTTTTTTTTTTTAAATTTTCAGGAGCTGAGGACCGAACCCAGGGCCTTGTGCTTGCTAGGCAAGTGCTCTACCACTGAGCGAAATCCCCAACCCCTATTTTTTTTTTATTGTAGTGTATGTTTGGTCAGAACATTTTTATGAGCATTAATGTTAGCTTGAGTGAAAAAAATTAAAAGGGCTGGAAGCTTTTAACGTTTACTATTTTATATTAATCTGTATTGCTTGAGTTTTTTAAAAAATGATTTATTTATTTTTCATTTTGTGTGCATTGGTGTTTTGCCTGCATGTATGCCTGTGTGAGGGTGTCAGATCCCCTGGAACTGGAATTACAGACAGTTGTGAACTACCATGTGGGTGCTGAGAATTGAACCTGGGTCCTCTGGAAGAGCAGCCAGTGCTCCTAACTGCGGAGCCGTCTCTCCAGCCCTTGTTTGGGTTTTTATTAACACACTCTCTCTTTCTGTGCCTTTCTTTTTGCCTCTCTGGGAACGGAACCCCGAGTCTTGCAAGTGTCTGAACTCTACCCTTCTCCCACCCCACTCCAAGACCTCGCATCTTTTGTAATTAGATAACAATACACACAGGAACAGAGAACAAAAACAACAAACACATTTGGCCTGGATTTCCACCGGCTAGAAATTTGTGTTGAGTTCAAGTTTTATTATCACAAGTAATGCTTTGTTTATAGGCAGAAAACATGTGCTGAATGCTTCCTCTTTGGCTAGCGCTGCCCCAGGCACGTTCACAGGTATTAGATGCTAATCCTCACAACCTTCCTGTGAGGTAAGACTTGGCTCCCCTTTACAGAACCTGGCTAGGAGATGGTTGCTTCATACCCTTCTACAGGGCTTCTCATAGCCTGGCCGTGTTTCCTTTGGCTGGCGGCCTACTGGCCGGTGGTTGACAGTTCAGAACTCTCATTGGCCAGGAGTTCCTATTCCTTGCTCTTGGATTCAAATCATCCAAGTCTTAGACTTTTTCCTCTATGTGAGTGAAGAGAGGAGAAGCCCAGGCTCTCTGCCTGTGAAGCACCACTTGAGTTTGCTGAGGGATGGGAGTGGTGGGGAAGTGGGAATCCGGTCATAACTCTTCCCGTCTCTGAAGGATGAGCTTTGCCACCAGCTCTGTGATCCGGGGCTTGATCTCCTGCATGGGCACCGTCGGATCCCAAGCCCCCACCACCTTTCCATCTGGGGCCACGAGGTACTTCCAGAAGTTCCAGGTAGGCTCCTTCCCAGAAGTCTCTAAAGAAGAAGGAAGCAGTAGAACGGTGTGCCTCTCTGTGCCCTCTCCTGGGATCCCACTACTGGTGTGCCTCTCACACCCAGGCCCCACTCAGACTGCTAAAATTAGAGCCACTGAGAACAAGACCCAACTCCCAGCACTTTTCCAGAACTCTCCAGGAGATTCCAATGTGGGATCCCCATTGAGAGAGCCGACTTTAGGATTCTGGGAAGTCCACGATAGAACACTATCAATCATCCTTTCCTAATCACCCCAAATGGCCGCGCCCTGTGCGCTAGTCTGTTTTGTTTTGAGTCAGGATTCTGTGTAACCCAGGCTACCTTACTTAGTCTTGCTGTCTAGCTGAGGAAGTCCTGGAAGGCCTTATCCTTGCTTCTAACTCCCGAGTGCAGGCCTGTACAATTCCCTGCTTCCGATGAAATCTTAGCGGCTTCTAGAGCTTAGTTCATGTACTGGCTGAATCAAAATCACGGTCAGGGAGTGGGGCCTGAAAAGAAATTCTTGGGCCCTGCGAGAGTAAGGTTCGGGCTTATACAATCATAAGATCTTTCCAGGTGCTTCCAAAGCAAGGCCCAGACTGATCTACAATCGCAGGAACTGGGAGAAAACTAACAAAATACGTAGGAGGGGGAGAAGTAGGACTTAACCAAAACACAAAGCTCACCAGATTCCAAAGCTCACAAGCTCTGCCACTGAGACTGGGGCATTCTGAATGCCTTTTCATTCTTTCTTTTGAATGAGTAGAGGTGATTTGCTTGCACGTATGTCTGTACACTGTAAGTGTACGGTGTCTGAGGAAGCCAGAAGAGGGTATTGCATTCCCTGGGACTGAAATGGCAGACGGTTGTGAGCTGCCATGTGGGCACTAGGAATCAAATCTGGACGAGCAGCCAGTGCTCTTAACCTCTGAGCCATCCCTCTAATCCCAGAATCCCACTTTTTAATGAGCAGGCTCAGACCATCAAATGTTTGACCCTTGGTCAACCAAGCCTGCCTCTTTCATAGATAGCAAGTCCCACAAAGAGATAACCTACGTCGTAAAACTTATTCCTCACAAAATAATCTGATACCTGCCTAACCTTCCAGAGAGACTGCACTGTGTAGATGTCCCACCTGATAAGACCTAAGCCATCAGAGTGCAGTTCCATCGAAACACTGCCTGACTGCTCACAGAGCCCCCCATCCCCACGTACATGAAAGCACCCCCTTACACCATCTCTGCAGCTTCTACTGCCTTGTCTGTTGCAGTTAGACCACAGGGTACCTAACAAACTCTACTGCCTGTCTGTCCTTGGTGATTTCATTCACAGCCCACACATCATGCCTGGCACTGGTATTCCAGGCATGGCAATTAAGCTAATCTTCCAGAGAGAAGGTTTCCCTCTTAGTGACTTTCAGTCATCTGGTCACCCTTCTCCAGGTGTGTGGCGTCTCATGGCTGTGTCTTGTTTCTCTCTCCTCAGTCTACAAGCTCAGCTAAGGAACGCTGACCAAAGCGTGATGACCCAGAGGCAAGAATTCAGGGAAATCCTAGGGTGAGGCTGCGGGTGTGGAGAGACTTGGGCAGGATTCCTCCTCTGCTCATGCCTGCCTTCACTTTCCTCCAGGGGTCAGGAAGAGAAAGGTGACCCAGCCAGCCAGCAGCTTCTGCTGCCCCGGGGAGTCCTGGCCACAGCCAGGGAGGGAAGAGGAGAAAGGACAGGACTCACGGGTTAGGTATTTGAAGGCAGGGTGGGCACCAGAGCCGGTGACTGCGATCTTGCTGAACATGGGAAAAGAGACACTGTAGGTGTGGCGGGCAAAGTTCTCGATCTCCCTGTTGGTGTCTGGTTCCTGTTGGCCAAACTGGTTGCAAGGGAAGGCAAGCACGTTAAAATGGAAGGGACCCAGGTCCCGCTGCAGCTGCTGGAGGGCTCGGTAGTTCTGGTCTGTGAAGCCACATTCGCTAGCTACGTTTACCACCAGGGAAACCTGCATGGCAAAAAACAAACAAAACAGAAGAAAGCTCAGAACCATATACAATCCAGCAAAGAGGCATGCACTTGTGTCTGCTCTGATATGTCCACGTAGGTGATTCCATCTCACATGCAAGAATGCTACGTATATATGTAAATACGTGTATAATGCTCTCACATAATATACCCGCATATGAAATCAAGCATGTAGGGTCCTATACACATGTACACACATACAGGAGAATCTGTGACTGTAAGCACACAATTCACCTAAATTAATATGCACATGCTCTATGATGCAAACCTACATTAGCACTGGTACACGGATCCACAAATGCATATAGCACATTCACAGAGAGGCATGCACACAGAGAGCACGGATCAATAGGTGATGCTAGGGAGGAGAAAGGCACACTTGGGTTCAGTTTGGTTCGGTCAGCTGGGTACTTCCAGGAATTCAGGCGGGCTCCTTCCCAGAAGTCTCTAAAGAAAAAGGAAGCAGAAGAGAAGTGTGCCTCCCTGTGCCTTCCCCTGGATGGGGCTGCCAGTACATGGGTACATAGACAGAATGACCCCCAGGACAATCCTTTTCATCTCCTCCCTTCCAGCAAACAAATACTTTGATCGCTGAGCCCTAATTATATTAAAGGCTTTAGGCAATAAATACAAAGCTAGCTGATGGAACTGAGTTATAATGTAATTCGAATTTTGGCACCAATGCCACATTTCCAGCTTCTAGCTATGCATTACTGAAAGATTACAATCCTTTGCCTGGGCACCCTCGCCATAGCTCCAGGACTGCTTTTGAAACAAGCTGGGATAATATCATCCGGCCACCTAAAGAAGACCATTTCCCAGGGTCAGTCTGGAACACAGGGCACAGATTGCTGAAGCTAGATGGGATTCTCAAATTCAGCACTACTAAAATTACAGGTCTTCGTTGGGGGCACTGTCCTGTTTATTGTAGACTATTTGGCGTCATCCTAGCCTGTACCCACTAGATGTTTAGGCTTGACCACCAAAAAACGTTTCCCCATGGGTTCTGTGGCGCAGACCTGCGCCACAAATTCCTAAATGGTCTTTTTTTTTGGGGGGGGGCGTTTCAAGATAAGGTTTCTCTGTGTAGCCTGGAACTAGCTCTGTAGACCAGGCTGGCCTTGAACTCACAGAGATCCTCCTGCCTCCCGAGTGCTGAGATTAAAGGCATGTACTACCACCCGGCCTAAGTGATCTTGTAATAAAAAATCCAGGACCAGATATTGGGGTAAATGCTGAAAGATCAGAAAGATAAAGGAACAAGCCACTGCCACCTCTTACCTCTAGGACTCCTCAGCATGAGAAGGTTCAGTTCCTGTCTCCTCGTGCCTTATATACCTTTCTCCGCCATATCACTTCCTTCCTAGTGCTGGGATTAAAGACTTGTGACTTCCAAGTACTGGGATTAAAGGTGTGCGCCACCACTGCCTGACTGTTTCTCTCCTGGACTGAATCAATCTCATGTAATCCAGGGTGGCTTTGAACTCACAGAGATCCAGACGGATCTCTGCCTCCCAAGTGCTGGGATTAAACGTGTGTGCCACCACTGCCTGGCTCCTATGTTTAATCTAGTGGCTTGTTCTGTCTCTGATCTTCAGGCACATTTTATTCGGGTACACAATGTATCACCACACACACCTGTAATCCCAGCGCTAAGGAAACTGAGACAGTAGAATTGCAAATTGGAAGCCAACCTAAACCACATAGTGAGACCATCTCTTGGCCAAAAATAAACAAACAAACAAATAAATAAATAAAATGGAAAAATATATAAAAAAAAAATGCTGCATGCCTTTAATCTCTGCACTTAGGAGGCAGAGACAGAGGCAGGAGGATCTCTGAGTTCAAGGCCAACCTGATCTACATAGCAGTTTCCAGGCTAGCTACTGCACAGTGAGGTACTATGTCTCAAAACAAAACAAACTGGAGAGATAGCACTTTGCTGTCACGCCTGATAATCTGAGTTTAATCCCAGGGCCCCACAAAGTAGAAGGAAAGAAATGACTCCCCCAAGTTGTTCTCTGGCATCTTCATGC